GCCACCTCCTCGCCTAAGAGCTTCTTTTGCCTTCTTTATCCCCTGTGGCCTTTTCCTTGCTTCGGTTTCTGGAGCAACAACCTCTGTGACTTCTTCATTGTTGGGGGCTTCTACATCCCTTGGCCTGGACACCTTGGTGGACTTCTGTTTTTTCTTGCTTGCTAGTTTCTCTAGCTCGGCAAGTTCAATCCTCTTGGCTTTCCACTTGTCTTCCTCCTTCAATATGTTCCAACAATGTATAAGAGTAAATGACTTGTTGTCCTTGTCTAATTCCTGGTACATCATGGATGCTTGTGAAATCTGTACAGGGAATTTGTCAATGTATATATCATTTTCAAATAAACCAAATTTAAGTAAAAGATTCAACACATATTGTATACCTTGTCTTGGATAGTTGTTCCACTTTGATTCCTACGCTCAATCACCTCATAGCAAGAACAATACTTGTTCACTTGAAACCCGAATTGTCGACCACCTATGCATAATGGAACTCTCTCTGTCCTCAAAGCTGCGCTTTCTTGTGTTTCTCAAGGAAAGCATGAACTCTACTTTAAAACGTGGAATGAGATTGATTTGCCCCATTAATGGGATCTTTGCTAACGTTCAACCAGCCTGAGCATACAACTTCGTCTTCCTTACAATGAAAATTTTTTGTCCTCTTCGATCCCTTCGTACTGCGACTTGGCTGCACTTCCACATGAACTTCTTGAACTTCAGAAGGAAGGTCACGAATACTCAGAGTGTCTTGTGTGATCGTAAAGTTGAGGTCGTCCAAACCAAAGAACATCACCATCACCTCCATTTAGAAGAATGTCATCAAGAATCCATCTCCTTCCATTTCAATGAGTCTACAAAACAAAAGAAAAAATACAAATAAGAAAAATACAATCAGAATAAGCGGGCCGAGTGGCCTTCTCTTTTTCTTATCTCAAGGTCCTTAACCAATGAATCAGAATATCTGTAATAACTGTAATACACATTGAATCCAGCTTTCTGGTTTTGTGGACATATTACTTACATGTACAAAGAGTAAATTACAAGTCCTACATGTACAAAGAATTTGTGCTAATAGGCTTCTAGGGTCCATACCTGTGGAAATCGGTAAGCTGGCTAATCTGAAAACATTGTATCTAGGCAACAACCAGTTCAATGGTTCTTAGAATATAGAAAATTCCATCTATCCCATATCGGTAATTTACATAACGGAACTCTATTCAATAGGAACAGAGCTCAGTCAAATTCAACATGCAGTATAACTGAACAAAATGAACAGAGATCATACTGGAACATCGACGACGGGAATTAGAGGGAAGGTAGAGGGGAGATCGTACCTGACCCTAGCGAGCACCTCCCGGACGTCGATGATTGGGGCTTCACGCGGGAGAAGGGTCCGAGAGCAACGACGATGGCTTCACGCGGGAGAAGGAGGGGCGCGACCTGGCTTCACACGCACTGGAGAAGGAGGGGCGCGACCTGGCTTCGCGCGCGCGGGAGGAGAGGCGGCGCGACGGCTTCGCGCGCACGGGAGGAGCGGCGGCGGCGCGAGAAATGGCGATGGCAGCTGAGTGCGCGCGCGTATATTTGCGCGCGCGGAGGAGGAATTTGCCAAGTTGCTATTGATGCCAATTTGTTTTGCCAAACTGTTGGAGGCCATTTTTTCTTGTTTTGTCAAAATTATATAGATGCCAAGTTGAAATACCAAACTCTTGGAGATGCTCTTAGGCCACGATGAACTGGAAAATGACAAAAAGGTAAACAAACACCCCCCACCCACCCCACACGCGCGCGCACGCACAAACACACACGTGGTGTTTATGTAACCGTTTAAACAAGAAGCTGGCAGCAAAGATCGTTCGTTACGTTCGAATAATCGGTGACCACCAGTCTTGAGAGAATTCTATATAGGCAAATGGTGGACAGCAGATGCATCGCAGCTGAAAACAAGCTAACGATTGTGCACGTGGAGTACCTGTTTTTTTTATGCCTCAACTCTTCGAGTACAAATTGTAGTATCTGAACGTACACACCACAACCCACACCACCACACACACATAAACTCACACACACACCTTAATGTACACACTAGACCTACACCTATACGAAGAAGCTGCATGTGGCTGAGAGATATCCGAAGTCAAACAGGCTTCGCACGTGGCGGGCACGTCACATTGACTATTGTGGCACATCCACGCGTGAGGCAGTAGATACACAGAACGTGTAAATTAATTAAGGGAAATTTTGCTGCAGGACACCGTTAAAATGCATAATATGCTGATGGATACCGCCAAAACGAGAATTTTTCTAAAGACACGGCAAATTCGTGGTTCTTTGGCCAGACACACCGCACCGATTATTTTAATCATTTCTCATATCCGTGGAGAGAGAAGGCGGGTGAAATGACATTTTTGGCCTTGTCTTCAACCTCCGGCTGGTCACTGATTTTTGCTGTAACACATCGTTGTCGCCTTTTCTTCTCCGGCGAGGTCTTGTCATGCTCCTCAGCACCGGCGAGCCCGCCGCCACCTCGTGCAGTGCCGTTGACTCGCCGCCACCTAGGCATCTCGTCTCCGAGAGAGGCATCCGCACACTCCATGGACGACGTCGCCTTCCTCTCTGCTCCGGCCATCTCCGGCCTTTCCTCGTCTGCCATCATGCCGTGCCACACCACGTCGCCGCCACCCCGGCACGCTCGGTCGAGTTGACCAGACGCTGCCTTCCCGCCCTCATGCACAGCACGCGCCGCCGCCGGCCCGACCTTGCCGCCGTCCTACCAACGAGCCCGCACGGGCCAGCAAGCCACGCGCAGCCAGCGCCGCCGCTCCACCGCTGTCGACCGGCTGCTGCTCCCCTCCAGCCGAGGTCCTCCCGCCCTCACGCGCAGCACGTGCTGCTGCCGACCCGACCCTGCCGCCGTCCTGCCAGCGAGCCCGTGTGGGACCCGCACGCCGTGCGCGTCCATTGCTGCCGCTCAGCCCTGCCGGCCGGCTAGCTGGAAAGCCCAACCGGGGGCCCTCCCTTCCACCCGCATGAGTAGCAAAAGCTCCTCCATGGCTTTCATGGCCATGGAGTGAGGAGGAAGATGGACCTGTTGAAGTCTCGACCCACCACGAGATGCCTAGGTGGCGGTGAGTCAACGGCGCTGCACGAGGTGGTGGCGAGCTGTCGGTGCTGGGGAGCAGGACGAGACCTCGCCGGAGAAGAAAAGCCGGCGGTGATGTGTTATAGCAAAAATCAGTGACTAGCCGGAGGTTAAAGACGAGGACAAAATAGTCATTTCACCCACCTTCTCTCTCCACGGATCTAAGAAATGATTAAAATAATCGGTGCGGTGTGTCTGGTCAAAGAACTACGAATTTGCCATATCTTTAGAAAAATTCTCGTTTTGACGGTGTCTATCAGCATATTATGCATTTTAGCGGTGTCCTGCAACAAAATTTTCCATTAATTAATGGGAAAAACCCCCGACGAGGCAAGCAAGTTGATTCCACAGGAATCGAATCTGCGAGCGGTCTCTTCACACCTGGAAGCCAGACCAACCGAGCTATCGCTCGGTCCTCACGTGGAGTACCTGTTAGTTCCAAAGGCAGGTAGCTCATCAACTGGTGCAAACCAGATGTCTTGTCACCAGGCTCGTATCGGCGATCGTCCGTCCTTTTTTCTGAAAAAAAGACGGGTTCCTATTCAAACCTGGGCATCATTCTTCAGATCGCGGTGTTCTTCTTCCAGGATCCGCCTATCATTGGGCATATTCGCTGGTTGGTGTTGGTGCTGGTTTGTGTTGGCTGGTATTGGTTTTTTTAAAGAAAAATACTGTTGGCTGGCTGGTTTGGACTGACTGAAACCAATAAACGAACAGGCTGATTATTTTAACCGACGGAGCACTAGCTAGTCTCTGTAGTAGTAGAATCAATGCAAGCCTTGATAAAACTTTACATGAATTTGAAGCGTGCAGCGCATCAGATGGGCATCGAATCCACCCTCTTTTTCTACAGCACTCGAGGGAATGAAATCTCGCCGAAGATTGCTACCGTTCGGTTTTTTGTCGTGTCTCGTCGTGCTGCCAATGGAAAACTGACTCCCTTTGTTGGCGGGCTTTAGTGCTGCCTGCGGTGGCCGACGACGAGGGAAGCTACTTGACACCTCCGCTTTGGTGCGAGATAATCTTGATTATTTCAGAGATACCCAGGTAATAATCGTGATGTGATCTAGTGCTCAGATTCTGTGCAGAAAACCAGGGTTGACACTGAGAAGCTGCCCGGGGGAAATGGAGCTGCGTGAGTTGTCTGAATTCTCAGGCTGGTGGAAAATGTACGCGACACGATTGATTGCTGACAAAGTGACAATGTCAGCGGAAACAGAACGGGCTCGCTCAATATTTGCAGTCGCCAGCCGCCACGGACTAGACTCGCCCAGAAGTTCAAAGTATTGGGCCGTTTTTGTTCTCGTAGCAGTGAGGAAGACCTGTGGGCTCTGTTGAGAGGAGAGAAAACCATCAGCCCAATCCGGGCCGGGAAGCTTAAGTGGCCGCAGTCCCTACTGTACAGCCGAAAGAGCCCAAGTCCGTCCCAGGCCGTAAGTAGGCGTCAACTCTGCAACGCTTCCAATGGGCCCTCCGGCGAGGTCTGATTCGACAGAGCCACAGCCCACAGAGGCCTCTGTTGACTCTCCGGTGAAGTGATGACTCATGAGGTCGGCTCGTTATGACCGGAGCCGCAGCAGACGCATCCAAAATCCAAATGTTCACAAACGAAGCGTTAGACGTCAACAGGGAGCCAGAATGGTGTTTATAAATAAATTGAATATTCTGAAACTTTCTTCTCCGTGTGGAACCTTTCCCGCGGCAAATTTCTTCAGTAATCGGGGTGGTTCTTGGACACACTGTTCCTCTTCGATTCTTCTCGTAAAGAGCAAATCACCAAGCTCGCACTCCGTGACCTGTCTCTTCGATGACGCGTTAGGCCCAAACCCAACACGCGGGAAAGGAGGCAGACGCCACCAGCATGGGGGCCGCGGTGGCCAAGGCACACCAGGCACTTGAAGACACCGCCGGCGCGCCCGGAACGCCAGCGGAGGCCCGGCTCGCCGTGGCCGCGCACGCCCTACTCCAGTGGTACTGCTCCCCCGACGCCGGCATATGGGACGCGGAGGCGGCCTGCACCAAGAGAAGCCTCCTCTCGGCGGTCGACGAGATACTCCACCTCAAGGAGATCCATGCGTTCCCCATGGCCTCCCCGGCTCGCCGCCGCATGGACACCGCCCTCGGCGTCGCCATGTCGCGCCTCATGGATGAGTTCCTAGTCCTCAGGGTCTGGGACGCTTCCCAGCTCCAGGGCACGGACGGCCTTCTCTTCGCCGTCCAGAAGCTCTCGGTCTCCCTGGCTTCCGGCGGCGGCGTGTGGCCCGCCTTCCCCACCGGCGGCAGCGCCAGCTCCGGAGAGTTTAGCGTCAGTGACAGCGACGAACTCTACGCGTCCGACAGGAGTCTCTCGACCTGGCCTGACGTTGTGACCGTCGTCGTGGATGGCGCGTTCTCGGATGGGCTCGACCTGATTTGCCCGGCAAGCTTGCCTGTCCTCCATGAGATCGCGCTCCGGGTCATCCGTGCCGGGTACACCAAAGAGCTGCTCCAGACATTCACCAAGGCCTCCTGCCAAGTTTTGGACAGGTGCGTGAAAATATTCTTCTTAGATAGATGCCGTTAATCACCTTGACTCCAATTTGTTTGATCCCTCGAGAGAGTTGACGGACAAGTGCAGTGACGACCATGGAACAGGTTCTTATCGATCCTTCAACTGGATCGGCCTTTCTTCGACGCCAACCGAGTCAACTTCGAGGACGCCGAGTGGTGGACAACGGAGGACATGGTGAAGCGGTGGATCTTGGCGACTAAGCTCGTCGGGAAGGCCCTCGTCGTCATGCAAGGGCAGCTCCGGGAGCAGAAATGTGGAGCCTTCGATAGGTTCAAGGACGACTACTTCATGGCCATCGCGAAGCAGAGCATCGTCGTCTTGCTCAGATTTGCGGACGGGTTCACCAGTACCCAATCACCCGAAAAGCTTATCTACGTCCTCGAGATGTACGAGGTTCTAAGCAACTCTGCTCCCGGCCTCCTGCCCCTCTTTACCGGGCAACACGCGGAGCTCGTCTCCCGGCAGCTGCCCGTCGTTCTCGCCAAGCTGGCACGCGCATTGAGGGCCGCTGTCAACGGTCTCATCACCAAGATCCGAGAAGACTGTTCGCAAGCAGCGGGCGAGACGGCGACGCACGGGATCGGCGTCCATCCGCTGGCGCGGTACGCCATGACCTGCGTCGAGCTGTTGGCGCCGCACCGTACCGCGCTGGACTTGGTCCTCGCGGACGGTGGCGAAGACGAACGCGGCGCAGCAGCAGGAGGCGCCGAGCGCGTGGGCTCGTTTGGCGGCCTCGTCGCGGAGCTGATCGCGGGCATGGAACGCAACCTCGAGGAGAAATCCGCGCTCGCGTTCGCGGACGGCTCGCCGTGGCAGCACCTCTTCCTGGCCAACAACACAGGCTTCGTGCTGAACCGCGCCGCGGACGCTGACTTGGCGTCCCTGCTGGGGGACGACTGGGCCGCACGGCGCCGGAGCCGACTCGAGCAGCACACGGCTAGTTACCTCCGGGCCTCCTGGGGTCCGGTCGTCGCTTGCCTGGAGGAGACGACCGTGCGGGGCAGCGGCAAGCCGGCGAAAGCTCTCGCAAAATTCAATGCCGCGTTTGAGAAAATGCACGTTAGCGAGGTGGTCCCGGATCCCGCGCTCCGAGCGGCCCTGCGGAAGGCCGTGTCGGATATGGTTGTTCCTGTTTACGGCGCGTTTCTGCAAGAGCACCTGAACCTTGGAAAATCTGTCAAGTACACGGCCAATGATGTTGCCCAATCACTGTCGGGATTGTTCGAAGGAGATGTTTAGCTGCTTCCATGCACGTAGAACATCTTTAGAGCGTACCGTTAAGCTAGACCTTCTCTATCTACGAACTATATAGGGCACCAGATCTGTCTAGGCAACAACTCATGTTTGGTCCCTCCTAACAACTGAATTTTTGCTCACACACTTAGGTAGCGTGAGGTTGCTTGGACTGTTTTGGTTTGGGGGCGACGAGGAACCAGTCCATCCTCGCCAGGAATATTCGACGACTGGAACTCTTCGCGTAGTGGTTTTGGTAATTCGGTTGTTGGAACCGGCTAAAACCATCGGTTGACAAATAGCAATTTTCAAAATAAAAAAGAGAGTGGCCCGCGCGATTGCACGATAGCCCACAATTTGACCTAGTACTAGTAGGAGAACAACTTAGCATGTTCCCTCTAAGGCAAACTCTTTCAGGATCTAAACGATTGCCCTACTTCGACTTCTAGCCAAGCAAGACAAAAGGCAAGGGCTAGCTTGTGGTGCCAATAGCTACGACTGTTATCATTAGAAGTGGTTGTTCTATCAACTATCATCAGCAAATTTAGAGTTACGTTGCCCTAAAAAAACAAATTTAGAGTTATGCTTTGCTTTGTTGGACTCGCTGATCGTTGTTATGTCCCACGTGCACATGCTCCAGTCCAGCCCAACGAATAATGTGCAAACGGTCAAACCCACCTAAATCAAACCGTGTGGTGAGCACGCCTCCTTTGGCGGGGCTGAGTTGGATGAGTCTACATTGTCAACGAAACGAAGCAGCAATGCAGGATTAGGGCCGGCGTGCGGCACTGCCGGCGGGGTGTGTCGAGTGTCTGGTTCGGGCAAACTCCACTAGACCACTACAAATCCAATCAGCCGGAACGCGGCGAGGAGCAGGAGGGGAGGCGGCAGAAATTGCGGAGTTGACACCGGGGGCGAGGAGTCAAGTTAGGCCTCGTTTAGATTGCAAATTTTTGCAATTCGGATACTGTAGCACGTTTTGTTTGTATTTGACAAACTTTGTCCGATCATGGACTAACTAGGCTCAAAAGATTCGTCTCGTGATTTACAACAAAACTGTGTAATTAATTATTTTTTTTATCTACATTTAATACTCCATGTATGTGTCTAAAAATTAATATGATAGAGAGAGAGAGAGTGAAAAAACTTGGAATTTTGATGGGATCTAGAGAAGGCCTTAGATTATTACTACTTGATCACCTCCGCGTGCACTGCCCGATCTGAAAACTCCCAGTAATGCTAGTGAAGCCCTCCAGTAATCTCCTTTTCGGATAGGGCCATAGGGGCAGGCATCGCCTCCTCCCTCCCCTCCCCCCCCAACGCGCGGCGGACCCAGCGCCACTCGAGCAGTCGGGCCCCTCGCCCTCGCAGTCGCAGCATGGGGGCCGCCGTTGGGAAGCCAGCATTCGGTCCCGCCGTCGCGCAGAAGACGCAGGCGGAGGAGCGGCTCGCCCTCGCGGAGCACGCCCTGCTCCAGTGGACTCGCTCCCCCGGCGCCGACTCCGGCATCTGGGACGCCGACGCGAGCTACACCAACAGAGGCCTCCTCGCGGCGGTCGACGAGGTGCTCCTGTTGGCGGCGGAGGACCCTTTCCAGCTCCCCGCAGCCGCGGCCGGCTCCGCGCGCCGCCGCCTGGACAGCGCCGTCGGCGCTGCCGCGTCGCGCATGGTGGAGGAGTTCCTGCGCGTCAGGGTCTGGAACGCCTCCCGGCTGCGCGGCGCCGTCGACAGGCTCTCCCGGGACTCCACTGGTCTGTCACTGCTGGTCTTCCCCAACGCCTGTGAGAGGGCCAGCTCGGCGGGCTCCGGCGGGGAGGTCGACGCGTCCGACGGGAGCCGGTCGAGGGCGAGCTCGAGCGTGCCTGACGACATGGCGGTCCTCTTGGAAGCCGATGTCTGGGACGGCCTCGACCTCATCTGCCCCGCAGGCTTGTCCGTCCTTCACGAGATCGCGCTTCGGATCGTTCGTGCCGGATGCACCGATGAACTCGTCCGGGCGTTCGCCAACGCTCCCTGCGATGTGCTAGACAGGTAACTTGAACGCTTCTGGTTTCTCTGGCTTCCTGTTCCTGCTGGTGAATGGATTTGCAATCCAGCTGTGACTGACGATCATACATGACGACCACGGTGCAGCTTCTTGTCAATTCTTCGGGTTGAATGCTCGCAGCGGACGACGGAGGCCGTGATCAAGCGCTGGACGACGGTGACGAAGATCATAGGGAAGGCCATAGTCGCCATGCGGAGGCAGCTGTACGCTCAGAACCCAGGCGCCTTCGACGGTTTCAGGGACGAGTACTTGCTGGCCATCGCGGAGAACCGCATCCTGATCCTGCTCGACTTCGCCAACGGGTTCACCGGCATCACGTCGCACGAGAAGCTCGTGTACATGCTCGTCATGTACGAGGCTCTCACCGACGCCGCTCCCAGCCTCCTGCTCCTGTTCAGCGGCGCGCGCAAGGAGCTCGTCTCGGAGCGGACGCAAGGTATCCTCACGAAACTGGCAGGCGCGATGAGGCTCATGGTCAGCGGCGTCATGGCCAAGATCCAGGGCGAGTGCCTGTTCCCGCACACGCCGAGCGCGGCAGCTGGTGGCGTCCACCCGCTGGCACGCGACGCCATGACCTGCGTCGAGCTGCTGGCGAGGCACCGCACCACGCTCGACCTGATCCTCGCGGGCGCGGGCGCCAACGACCGCGGCTCCCTCGCCGGCGTCGTGTCGGACCTGATCGCGGGCCTGGAACGCAACCTCCAGGGGAGACTCGCTGTCGCCTGCGCCGACGCGGGGGGCTCGCGGCACCTCTTCCTGGCGAACAACATCAGCTTCGTGCTGAGCCGCGTCGCGGACGCCGACGGCGTGGCGTCCCTGCTCGGGGACGCGTGGGTCGTGCGGCGCCGGAGCCGGCTCAAGCAGCACGTAGCGAGCTACGCCGCGTCGTCGTGGGGCCCAGTCGTCGCTCTCCTTGATACGCCCGTGTGTGGCAGAGGCAAGCCGGCGAAAATTCTGGCGGAGTTCAACGCCGCGTTTACCAGATCACGCGACAGTGAGGTGTGCCGGGAGGTCCCCGACCCCGTGCTCCGAGCGGTGCTGCGTCACGCCGTGTCGGAGATGGTGGTTCCTGCTTACTGCGCGTTTCTGCAGAAGCAACCCAAGCTAGGGAAATCTGTCGGGTACACGGCTGATGATCTGGCCGAGTCGCTGTCGGAATTGTTCGAAGGGGAAACCACGGATGTCAGAAAAATCTAGTGCTTCTGTGAACGTAGAACATTTTCAGGCTGTACTAAACTGACAACGCTTGACCTTCTGTAATACTACAGTACAAAGTTCCATTTTTTCATGGATGCTATATATAGCAGCCAGTGGTAGCAGTCAGAGTTCTTTATTAGCATGCACTTGATAATCTGAACATTCGATTGTAATAAAAGAAAATGGGAACAGTCTCGAGTCCGGACATGTAAAATGTGCCAGAAAGCAGCAACATTTCCATGTTGACAGAAGTCTACATAGTTTCTTCTTTGGAGATTAATAAACAGATGGAACACAAATCACAAGAACAAGCTTAAGATACGATAGATAACATCAACATTCTGGGTAGCAATGGCTACTGCGTATTGGGCACGCACGCTTGGAGTTGGAATGAGAGTTCAGAGTTACCGCTGAGTTCGAACTCGCAGGTGTCGCCTTCCTGGAGGCTGTTCTCCCTGCAGATGTCAACCCACCCAGTGATGAAGCCGTTGAACCTAGGGGTGCATTGGTAGAGCACAGGCCAGAGTCTCACGCATGGGTCCTTGAGTATTACAACCTTCCTCCCATGTTTCTTCGTTCTTGGAAGAACCGGCAGTCGACCGGGAAGCTCCTGTATGTACAAAGATCTTTCAGAACTATGGTGCAGAATGGTGAGCTCAGATCAGAAGGAAATAGAATAGTCAGGGTTACTCACAAGCCATGTTTGCCCTGGTGCAGGCACATCGATGCAAAACTTGATGCTGTTTGCTGTGAGTGCAAGAACACCACCAGATTCAGAGGTTCCACTGTGGATGGATTCAGAGCCGTTTCCTGCAGGTTATACTGAAACGCATGAATTAAATGTTGTGTGGTACATATGTGAAATTAACATCCATCCAGTTCGTGGTTCTAAATTCTGGGAGAGCATGAGGAGTCATAAATCGTGATGAACACTGTAATACCAGTATGCAGAGGATTCTGCCTGAGATCAGGAAGTTCATGAGGCTTCGCGCTTCTCGACATGATTTCAGTAGCATGCTGTCGTCCTATACCATCTTGCATGTTACATTGGCCACTTTGTGGTGCATCCTGCTTCGTGGTCATGGAAGAATCTGCTGCAACAAGTACTGAATCTTTGTGGTGACTAAAAAACATGCAAACACAAAGGTAAAAAAATTGTACGTGTAAATTCAGAACTAAAGGTTGGAAAATAGTACTAACATTCTTTATGTGTGCAGCTTGCTTGTTTACGAGAGGGAGCAAACTATTGCGTTTATCCTTATTACAGCTGCTTAATCCACATTCATTAGAATGCATTTCAGCATCAGCTTGAGGAGAAGAGTTATCCTCTCCAAATGATGGCGGCTCATTAGCGGGCAGCGCGTTGATGTCTATATCATGCACTGAGGAGTCAACAAAATATGATGTTCCTGTTCCTAGTGCATCAGTCATCTCTTTATTTTTGATACAAAGTACTGCTTCTGGAATCATAGAACGATGACCGTCTCCCATAGAAGAAAGGTGATTCTGCGGGGTATCCTCAAGGCAACTGAATCCTGAATTTTGTCCAGTAGTAATAGGCCCTTTCATATTCAGATCAACAGAAAATGATTCTGGGTTACACATATCGCTTTCAAATTCATATATATCAGCCGACAGAAATATATCGTCTATACTCACTTCATTAAGATCCATCATAGCAAGAGGTACACTAGCATCAAAATCTGTCGGCAGATTCAAGCCCTCGCCATGCTCTATTTCATTAGCAGCAGAGACTTGCACAATACTTGCAGAAATAGCATTGTAATTGCTTTCATTCTCTTCAAGCATTGTGCTGTCATCTGCTATTTCTGCCTCTCCATCTAACACCTCCTGAGCTTCACACTCATGTCCCGCAGGGGCCTCAGAAATTTCTTGTGGTTCTGCGGCTCCAGCCTCCGGTACTCTCTCTGATGCGTCTGAACATTTCAGCTCAGATACAGAATCTGGAACGTCAGAGTCGTCGATGCAGACCTCAGCTGCCATCTTGATCTTACGGCCTCTCGGGCGTATACCATTTTGGTGATCATCAGTACGTTGTCTCTTCTTACAGTTTTTCACGCTGTTCTTGGTTACCTTCTTCGCTGTCTGGATACTGGGAGAGCTTGTTTCCTGCCTGGGCTTCCTCTTCCGGCTCTGCCTTTTGTTCTTCTCGCAGAGATACAGCCTCTCAACAGCCGATGGGGCAAACATCTGCACGGTGAAGACCGACCTGGCAATCTGCCTGAACACCAGGAACTCGCCACAGCTGACGGCGTGGTCCAGCACAAAGTTCTTCCATCCATGCCCAAATGACAGTACGCCGTCGCGCAAGCAGAGCCGCACGCGCCAGCGGAGCCCAAATGCGTCCTCGAGAAAGATGTTGGAGCCTGCCAGGTTCCAGATTGTCCGGGCAAATGGGGGTGGTATATCCTGCGTGTGTGAAATGTACATGGTTCAGATGAGTTCTGGTATCACTCAAATGAAATCCTCAGGTATCTCCTGCCATACATACTCCGTGCAAACATGCACAGAATCATCTATGCCTTTATAAAACAATGCAGACATGCACTGAGATCAATGCAAGTAATCCAAAGGGGAAAAAACATACCATGTCCTCGGAGAAATAGCCCATCATGACCTTGAAGAAGGACGGCACTGCCGGGACCGTCCGCGCATTGCTGGAAGACGGCAATGCGGACGGCGAAGCAGGCCGGCCATGGATCCGGGCACACCTCTTGGTGCAATCCACGCATGCCCGCTTCTTGTGCGGATCGCAGGCCTTCTTCTTCTTCCTCCTCCTCATCTTAACCACCTTCTCGGCTTCCGCCTCCTCGTCACCGTCTACTGCGACCACGATTTCCTCTGGCTCTTGCTTCACAGCTCCCCCTACCACCTCCGCGTCCGTTGCAGGTTGCATGTCAACACATGCGCGCGAACATTTCACAGAGAGCAAGGCAAGTGGTGGTGCAGATGTTCCTCGCGGAACGGCAGGGTGGAGAAGAAGACACCAATAATGCGTGCGGACTGCGGTGCGGCTTGCTGCATGTGCTCTTCCTCTATTCTCGTTCCCGAATTATAGAAAGAAGAACATTAGAAATGATTTAGTATCCACATAGGCTACACTTTCCACTGTGTGGGAGGAGAGCACATCGATGTTCCAGTGCTCCCTTGATTCACACTTGGCGGCAGTAACTGACGGACGGCGGGGCCCGTGGCGGGGGCGCGGGGTGTTTGATTGCGCGTTCTTTTTAGGCCCGTTGGCTTCTCTTATAATCCATATTTTTAGCTTTTTTTTAACCAGAATAGTATTTTTTTCTCATAATAAATCTGTTGGAACAGTGTTTCGATTTGTTTTTTCAGCGAAGCGAACGGGGCCTTAGTCGCTATCCCATCGGATATTTGGTGTATGAAGTATTAAATATAGACTATTTATAAAACTAAATACACAGATTTAAACTAATTTGTGAGACGAATTTATTAAGTATAATTAGTCCAGAATTTGACAATGTGGTGCTACAATAAATATGTGCTATAACGGATTAATTAGACATACTAAATTCGTCTCGTAGATTACTAAGAATTTCTGTAATTTACTTTTTTTATTAGTGTCAAATACTCGGTACGACACCCATGTAATATCAATATAACACCCATCAAACTTTAGTCCTGTGTCCAAACGCCGGTCGCTTCTCCGGTGATCGGTGATTGGCGGAGCGGCCCGCGTGCCGGACGTTGTGTTGCGCGGATGGGATTCCCAGGTGGCAGTGATCGAGCTCCTCCTCTCCTCTCTGGCTGCCTCGTACTCAGTGCCTGACTGACGGCCACTACCTGGCTCTTGCTTGTTGCCTAGTGTGTCTGTCCTATTTCCTGTTACTCGTCTCGGTAACTCTGAGGTTGCTCCCCGTGAAAAAAAGATTGTAATTCTAGACTTATTTTGGATCACAGTGTCTTTGAGGGACTAAATATATAGTTTAATTTATTAACACGACGTTAGAAATTATATTATAAAAGTATGTTTCATGACAAATCTAATGGTACCTATTTAGTTTTATAAGTATTATTAGTAATTTCTTTTACATAAACTAGATATATACCCGTACGTTGCACGGACAAGCACAATGTCATTTGTCAACACGCACGGACAAGCACAATGTCATTTGTCAACACGCACGGACAAGCACAATGTCATTTGTCAAATACTTCAAATATTATTGGGACAAAGATTGGCTGTCCCGTGATCTTTTGACCTACATATAATAAGGGAAAAATAAAATTTCTCCTTATGAGAAATTTTACTATGGTTGAAGAAATTTGGACCGTTGGTAAGGAGCGATCAGATGGCTAGAAAAGAATAGGTACCAAGGGGAAAGCACTGTTAGTCACCCGGTGCATACTAAATTTGTGGGACCAACACAATAAAAATATTCTTATTATTTTATAAATTTGTTGGTGAGGAGCGATCGGATGGTTGGAAAAGAAGAGGTACCAAGGGAAAATCACTGTTAGGCACCCGATGCATACTAAATTGGTGGGTCCGGCACAAAAAATATTCTTTATTTTTATAGTTTTTTATTTAATTAAGGGCAAAATGGTAAATTTAGATTAAAAGAATAATGTTTTGAGTGGTATAGTTCGATGCATTATATTAGAGTAGTATAGGTAGATGGATATCTTCTTCTGACCACACCAACCCCGGTCCCTCTGTTCTTCATTCCAGCTCCACCCTTCCCCGCTCATGGCGACAACTCCATCCACACCCATGCCTCGGAGTTTTCACCGCTCATGGCGATAGCTCCGACGAGCCTGTGGCTACAACAGCAGGGCGGCGGCGGTGGCGGCGAGGGCACGCCGACCCCTCTCACTAGTACCGGTGAACGGCGAGACTGCGTCGATCCGGCGAAGGCGGTGGAGGAGGCGATATCAAGGTCCGACCCCTCCTCACCAACCCTCAACAAGTATCCATCAACCTATGCTTACTCTAATATAAGGCCCTAAAGCTAGACTTCACCAAGCCGTAGGCGCCGATAGTGAGCAAGGTGGCCCCGCGCGGCGTTGGTCGTGCCTGCCATCGGCCCAGCATCACAAATATTCCGCAGAGATTAGGTGGGTCCAGCTCTATTCGTCACTGTTGTAGGTTCGTCTAGGGCAGTGTTCATTGGAGACTAGTTCTGCGTCAACCAGTTTGTCGGTGCGTGGCTCCTGCTTCGGCTTTGAAGGTTTATCTAGTCCACACTAAGCAATTGGAGTAGAACATTAATATAGAATGGAAAAAGATTACCCGTCTTTTTGTTCTGGTATTAAGATAGGGAACTGTTTTCCAGTTGCGCAAAGCCATCCTCGACCAAAGAGTCTATGCATGATGTTATGCCTTCCACCTAGTGGACGGCGAGATACATGTTAAGTTTGCTTGAACTATAGATGAATATAGATGAATAAGTGGCACATGTTACACAGAGGATTTGTACTTATCAAGGTCTTTTCTTGGCCTTCGTTTCACATTGTTGGATCGGAGGCTAAGAATTAAGCATCTGAACCTTTGTGTTTTTGAAATTCAGCACTAGGAGAGCTCAATGGTTGTTGTTAATATTCATTGGCACAAAAACCTGATACAAATAAGTAGCTACATTTATCTTGATATTGAGTAGCTAGGAATTGTAATAATTATTGTATAATATTATGTACCAAATTTCTTCGTATACATTTGTGGACAATTAGATTCTTGAATGTCATGCGTTAGTTACACCAAGGACCCAAAATTATTCATAGCCTACCTCGGGGCTTAGAAAGTTGTTATGAATGATGTTGAATCAGTTTCCGCATTATTGAAATCAGCATAGGCATTTATGACATGCATAGGTTTGAGTTAGTACATAGTAGGCGTTTGCATGTTTGTATTATCGATATTGATCTGAAATAATATTACCTCATCTAATATAAATTTCTGTTTGGCATTTGGGCGCAAACTGTTTTGCTGTAAGAATATTTCCACCTATTTCTACCAAATTAGCATCGTTGTAACTCATTTGTACTAAGGTTACAGCATCTCCGTCGAGTTGACTCAATTTGTAATCGGTGTCCATAATAGGCTTCCTGGGTGTGATATGTGTAGAGGGGTTTGTAGGTGACCATGACGCCTAAGAGGGGGGGGGTGAATTAGGCAACTTAAAAATCTCCTTATAAACTATGGCCTCTTTTTTTAATCTTAGCAAAACTTATGCAAAAGATAAACTATCTAAATGTGCAACTACGGTTTTGCTAGTGTATTGCTATCTCTATCGCAAAAGGAGTAATGCAATCAATGTAAATGCGGAAGCTAAAGAGCAAGGTAGAGATATGCAAACTCCCGTCGATGACTCCGGTATTTTTACCGAGGTATTAAGAAGCGCGCAAACTTCCCCCTATTCCTCGTTGGAGCCCCTCGTAAGGAATCCCTCGCAAGGGCCAAGCTCCCGGTCGGGTAACTCCGTGGATAGCCTCGGGCCTTTCCCACGCGCAAGTGGGTCTCCGACGTGCCTTCCGACAAGCCTCTCCTGGATGCTCCCCGCCGTCTTCACTATCAAGCTTTCGGCCAAAACATCGTGGGCCTTGTTCCCTCCGGTACACGGTGGCGGCCACACCACAAACGCGGTTGGTGTGATCTCGCAAGACTACAAGCCCCTTCGATGTACAACAATGGTGCGCGCAAGCACCGGGTAGTAAGAGGTATGCAAACCTCACTAAACACTAGGCCTAAACCTAAGCGGTGGTCTAATCAACCTAAGCACTTCGCAAAACACCTACGCTAATCACCTAATGAATCACTAAGCACTATGCAAGTGGAGATCACTAAAATGATGTATCAACACCCTTGATATGTTTCCTCAACTCCACGCCTTTCAAGTGGCCGGTTAGGGGGTCTATTTATAAGCCCCTCTGAGAAAGTAGCCGTTGGGGGACGAAATACCGCTTTTCTGCTACTGACCGAACGTTGATCATGTCCTGACCGAACGTGTCTGGTCGTCTCGACCGTTAGAGCTGCGATCAACTGATCGGACGCTGCCAGTGTCCGGTCGCACTTTCGCCGCTTTGGAACCTTTCTGTACTCGATCGGACGCTGTTGTTCTGCGTCCGGTTGATTTGCCGCCAGCATCTGGTCCAGTGTCCGGTCGCTGCTGCTGACGCTTACTGTTGGCGAGCCTCTTGATCGGAGCGTTCGGTCACTTTCTGCCAGCGTCCGGTCACCTCTGTGAGCTTGTTTCTTCGCGATCTTGCGTACGGCTTGGTTCCTATCTTCATGCTTGGACTTTGCTTGATATCTTGGGTCTTCTCTTGTGCTTCTAAGGTCTTGCTTATGGTGTTGATCATCGGATCATCACGTTGCCTTCGTCCAAGTCACATCTTGCACCCTATTGAACTACAAAACAATCACTTGTAAATTCATTAGTCCAATTTGGTTGTGTTGGTCATCAAACACCAAAATCCAAAGTAAATGGGCCTAGGGTCCATTTTCCTTACAATCTCCCCCTTTTTAGTGATTGATGACAACATGACCAAAGCAAGCAAATAATAAAAAATTGGAATTTAAAAACTATCTACTTGCTAGGATGCAATGCAAGGGGCAAGGTTATATGATGCTAAAATATACTACTTGTAAAACTAAAGGATACCACATAAAAACTTATCTTGCCCTTGTAAATGTCCCCATATGGCATTATGGATTTAAGCCTTGCTTCCTACAAATTCTCCCCATTACATAGGCAATCCATAATCCACTATCCTCCCTTTCTCGGACCATTACCACTTATAGACACCACTTGTAGACCATTACTACTTGTAAATTATTATGATCTAGCTCTTGGTTCTACAAATTAATGCTTGCTTTTGGTCCTCTAAATTCTCTCCCTTTGGAATCAAACACCGAAAAGGAAGACATTAGTA